TTCGTCGGTGGTGAGAGGAACCGTGGGAGCGGGGAGAGCGGCAACAGTGTCCCTGTAGGTTGGGGCACTATTGTGTTCCTCTGCTCCATTTTCCGCACTGGTCCTCCCACGGTGGGTGTTGGCTACCACGACGTCGTCAGCTGGAACACTGGCTTCCTGTGTTCCTGTTGGGGTGCCGGCGATGACGTGAACGGCGTCAGACATGACCACTTGTTGGCGAGGAGGAGTGGCATCCGAAGGTGGAGTTCATTGGTAGGGATTGGACCAACCCTTTGGTGGCGTCAGTTCCGTTTGCATCTGGACAGAGGGAGACGGGCGCGAATCGTGTGCCTTGGCACCTTTTGGATTCTCTGGAGTCGATGCAGGGCGCTTCATAGACTTGGACTGAGCTTTGGCTATTTTCGACTCACTTTCTAGTCGCTCGAATTCCTCCACAATGGGAGGAATGATCGCAGGGCCAGTCCAAGGATGGGCAAAGAATTCGGCTGCCGCTAGCCACATCCACGTCAACGGCTTGGCGCGTTGAACAATTAATGTCGGGTCGAACACGAGCGAAAATTCCCAAAAGCGAGGCGACTTTTTGTCCGTAGTGATAACGCGTTGGGCCGTTGAACACAACTGTGGGGCACTGTGTTGCGAGACGAAGAAAGTACTCGCGAAGAGCCCAGGAACCTTCGTCGTTGTCGGCATCTTCGAGATCTCCAAGGGAGAACAGATTCTGCATGCTGGACCGAAGCTGTGGCATCGAACCGCCGAGTGATGGGTCGTACGCCTTCAGGCCAGTCAGGATGAACGCAGCGATGTTGTTGTAGGTTTGGGCGTCGGAAGATGGATCCATGTTGACGTCGGCCCACCAGCCAGGGCATTTGGAGATTGCCCGACCAGAGTATTCCGCTGTGCGGGAAGACCAAGTAATAAATGCCTGGATTCCAAAAACCTCTTTCCTCCACGCCTTCTTGTAGAGCCTGTGGAACTTGGACACCTTGAGGTTCTTGTTGTAGGCAACGAGCGGCCGTCCTTGCACTGCGCCATCCTCGGCGGTTTTGGAAGGGAGGGGTTGCTTGCGTTGACTCTTGGTAATCGTGGGATCAGGATTATCCTTGGTGAGATCGATCGACGAGGGACTGGTGTGCGATCGAGCTTTGGCCGTGAGGCCAACCTGACCTTGGGCAACTTCAGATGGGAGGCGCGAGCGACCGTTCATTGCGCCATCCTCGGCGGTTGTTGAAGGGTTTCGCTTGCTGATGCGCTTGGGAGTCGTGATGGCAGGATTGTCCTTTGTCAGAGCAATCGACAACTGAGTGGTCGAATTTGATCGTTTTTTTTCCTCGAGACCTCCCTGACCTTGGTCAGCTACAGTCATGATCGAATTCGGGTCCTTCTCCGGCGGGTTGATGATGCTATCCTTCATGTTGGCTTAAATTTAATTCCTGTTTCAACGACAACAACTGTTTTCCTGTATGTACGAAACGCGTAGGACTGGTACAGTTTTGTTTTGGAGAAGAGTGAGGAAAAATATTTTCTACCTTATAGTTTTTGATTTTTGATTTTTGAGTTTTATTGTTTGAAGGCCCACTGTCGTCAAGCTGAGGAGGCTGATCCGTGCGGCTTGCTTATGTCTGTTGTAGTAAGCGCATTGCGGCAAGTTCGAGCGCCAACTTTTCAGATCGTAGTCGTTCGGCCTCCAACACAGAATTCTGTTCGGACAAGAGATTGTCCTTGAATTCAATCTCCGTGATAGCAGCCTCCAGTTGACTATCCTTTTCCAGCAACTCATCCATGGCGCCAGCGACCGTAGCTCCGTCGTCAATGTCTTTAGCGTCTGCCATATCCATATCAAATTCCAACTTTGCTTCACCGACATCAAGAGGATCAGAGCCAAACCCGTCCAGAAAGTCGATAGCTTCGTCAACGCCCTGTTGAGTTTGGTCGGCTGGTCGTGCCCGTAGAGTCTCCAAGCACCACACAAGTTCCTTGCGGCGTGTCGTGTGGATGAGAGACTTAGGGAACCATTTGCCCAGAACTCTGTTGGATCGAGTAGTCGTTGATTCCCCCAGATGGTGAGTGAAGAACGGAACCAGTCCTTTCCAAAACATTTGTTGCCAAGGCTGCGTACTTCAAACGGCTGATGAAGAGATAAGTCCCTTCCATTTCGCCAGGTAGAACCATGATGAACAGCGGGCTTGGGACATTATTCTCCAGGTCCATTTTTCGCTTCCTTTCAGACTCTCGGGCCCGGCGCTGTTGCGCTGGTGTCAGAACAGGGCCCTCGTTCTCAAGAGACAGATTCTTGGAAGTTTTTGGGACCTTCTTCTTTATCTTCGTCTTCCCTTTGGTCGACACTTTTGTAAACTTGTGAGAGATGTCGTCAAGGAGAGAACCGTCAGAGTCGGAATCGGTGTCCACATCGGCAGCAGCAACTTTATCGGCGTGCAATGGCCGTGCCTTGACCAAAAGGAACATGGACAAACAGGTGCGAGGGCCAAAGTCTTTTGTGGTCGCCTGTTTAAGCATTCCTGGGATCTCGACTGGGCAGTACTTGGTCTGGGTAAGTTCAACAAAATCGTTGTGCTTCGAAATCATGGTCAGATTCTCATCCTTCACTGGACCAACGGCCTTGACACTGATTATCCCATTTTGAGCTGCCTTCCAATCGCTGATGTAGTGGGTGACGGCGCACCACGGAAAATCTTTCTTTGGAGTCGAGGGGTGAAGCCACAGGCGTAATGCCCGGTCCACGCGCTTGGCGTGTTTTGCTCTCATGTAGACGTGCCACATCATGCACCCTGGTGCTCTTTCGTTCCACTTGCTACGTCCGTTGTACGGGATGTTAACCCATTTGTACCGTAGTCCAATAACAATATCCCAACCAAAATGACGCATCAGTTCTTTCTCGATGGCCTTAATGTTAATTGCATCGACTCCAGAGAATCCAAAAGGTGCCAAGGCACACGATTCGCGCCCGTCTCCCTTTGTCCCGATGCAAACGGAACTGACACCACCAAAGGGTCCGTCCAAACCCTACCAACGAACTCCACTGTTGGGATATGACGAAATATGAGTTTTTACGTTCCAAAAGAAACTATTCACGTACGAGAATTTCGACACGTGGCAACAAACAAAATTTACGTCAAGAACAGCACTGCCTTATCTACAAAGGAGTGAGTGATTCGTTGACTATGGGAAGTTCTTCTTCCGGTGGAGGAAAGGGACGTGTGACTCCTCAGAAAGTCAAGAGCAACTCGAGTTCAACAGTTGTGAAACATCTATTTTCAACTAAAGATGAAAACGATGGAAAGGCAAGATCATAGTACGAAGATGCCAAAGAAAGAGTGATTGACTACATCCAAGCTTCTGGAATGAAATGTTCCGAAGACATGGTGAAATCAATTTGAGATGGAAAGTCGATCGACTTCAATGCAATCGCTCCAAGATTGAACGCTCCAACTCAAACTGAAGCTGTTGCAAGAGAAACAGAGATGACTCAAAACAAGATTCTCTATTCTGCAAAGCTCGAAGAGAACATGCGAAGATCAGCCTACTTCGAAACGAACAAGCGAACTGTCAAATCAAACATCATGCTGAAGTTTGTGACAAAGGCGATGGATATCAAGCTTTGAGGTGAAGCCGATTTTACGACTACTCTTGAAGATCCAATCAAACTTTTGAAACGTATTGAATGATTCATGAAGAAGAGTGCTGATGCTGAGTATGACTTCTTGGATTTCTGGGAAGCCAATCAAAAGTGTTTTGCTATCAAGCAAGGTACAACCGAAAACTTGATGCATTTCAAGGAACGATTCTTGAGACAGGCTGAAGTCCTGCAAGATCTATATGGCGTTGCCTGGTTCCGAAATTTTGCAGTCAAGACAAAAGCGTATGCTGCTATTGCTAGCACCGATACTACTGCTAGAGACAAGTTCAAGGATGATATCTTTGAAGCAGTTCT